ATTTTAAGTTCGCAAGCGGCCGTGCAATCCTGATGCAAGATCATTGATGTGGCGGTTCACCTTTTTTTGTCGATTTCCATTTATCTTAAATGCGATGCTGCCAAATTCCGCGGAAATTCTAGATTTAATGTATTTATTCACATTGATAGGCATCGATTTTGAATGCGCGAGTTTCCAGCGGTGTGGAGAGGCGTGTTCCTTATTCGGCGAAACGGCGGAATTTTTGCCGCGACCTTGCGCCCTAGACGGCCTTCTCGGATGTCAATTTGCACTGCGGAATCCTGCTCCCGTGAACTCGCGGCGGCGCCCGTGCGTCAAGTGCTTTGTCCGAGGAGTTTTTCGGTCTTTACACTCTGCTGCATCTCATTTTTCGACATCATTTCGAGAAAATTGCTATTCTGAAATCTTCCATTTGTGCGAGAAGATCCCTTCTCCCACGGCACACAGTGGAGTCAATAGGAGAGGTCGGACAAAATTTGGAAACTTTAAACGCTTATAACTCCATTTATACAAAACTTTGAGGTTCTCAAAGTGGCTTCACTAGTTTCCTCGTGAAATTTTCCACTGTATGCATCTCCTTAAATTTCAAATGTAACGAAAAAACATCAAAATTTGCAGTTTTAGTGAAAAATTTCGTGTCCGACCTCTTTAATTGATTCGATCCACTGTGCATGCGGCAATCGGTCCCGAATGAAGTGTGAAAAATTTTCTACGAAGTCTCGTATCATATTGAACGAAATATTGGTAACTTTTTTTTCCGAATATATTGCAATTTTGGAGGCTAAAATTGTTCAAAGAGAAGTGAATATCCTGCAAGAATCCTATTATATTCTAGGTGAGCTATATGTTGATTCGAGAGATGATCTTAATTGTTTCTTTCGGCTGATCCTCATCAGCAAAATCTGGCAATTAAAGTTCATGAGAATCAAGCCTGTATTTAATTAACTCGTGGATAATATTCGTGATCGACTTTCGCAGCATCGATTGTACAGGTGAGACTCAAAAGAGGCAGTTGAGGAGCAATTAAGAAGTCATTATGGTTTGTTTGGAATTTCTTGAAGCCTTCAGCACATTAGTAATACAGAATCGATTGAAAAAAAAGTACGAAATTATTAAATTGATGATTTTAATTCGTCAGTGTAAGTTGGCAATCATATAACTCGGGTTGCGACGTCGCAAACTTCCTATCATACTTTATTTTTTAAACGGATAACAACTCAACGGCAATTCTTTAAAACTGCCGTAATTTTTTTTCTCTATGCGAAGAAAATTCTGCATAAACTTCAAGGAATGATGTCAATTTGTTCTCCCTCAAAAAAATAAGATAGAGGCGGAGATTTTAAGGCACCGCAAACGAGGTATGTGCTTGCGGACTTACGCCGTCGAATTATAACAATATTTTTTGTGCCTTTTGTATGCACCAATTATGAATTTGGGGGAAGAGGGCTTATACACCAAAGTTCATAAATTCAGGAAGTCATGCTGAACAAGGAAAGTCAAAGCTCAAAATTGTTTGTCGATGAAGCTCTCTTAAAGTAAGCAATTCATGGAGATATATGACACTTATTAAGACTGTCTACCAGGATAATGCCTTGCAAATGCAACATCTTTGTCGATATACGTCTATCTTATGCTTCAACGGCTAATATTGAGTTAGGAGCCTTTAAAATAAACAAAAAAATCAACCAACCAACCAAAGAACAACCAAACAAAAAACCATGCAAAGTTTTGGAAGAAGATGCTTTTTGAAATTAAAAGCTACTTTCGTATTTTAGGGCAAGCCTTAATAATTTTTTTAAATTTTCCACCTGATTGCTGAAACCACTGAATTTCAAAAGAGACTGCATGATTAATTGAAAAGAAATCACCTTTCTTTTCCGGAATATAAGTTAGACAACTTTTTTTCGGGGGCTTGAAGAATGCTCCAAATGAAAACTTGGTCCACCAAATCAAACGCCCAAGTATTGCATAAAGTCATCGAATGACTCAAAATAGTTACATGGGCACCAGAGTCCGTCACAAAGATTCCTTACTACCAATAAAAGTGGACCACATTTTGCAATCAGGAACTACAATTCCGGGTTCATTTTAGAAACAACGTATATGCCATTCGTTTTCTTAATCAGATAGGTGTTTCTACGGATGAGCCAGAGCTTTTAGTTCCTTGTTGCAAAATGTGGTCCAAGTGATATAATCGGGTGGGGCCAAAGTTAAGTTCAAAGATCAACATGACTGCCTGTTGATGGTTGATTTGCAAGTTGTTGTGTAATTCAATGGCCGCCCTTGTTGAAAACGACCATGATGACGAGTGAAAGATGGTACCCAATACGGCCCCGATATATGCAGCACCAACTTGATCAATTGATTAACCCTGCTAAAAACGATCATGTTGGTGAGTGAAACATGGTATCCAATATGGCCCCAATTTATACAGCGCCAACTTGATCAATTGATTATCCATACTAAAAACGACCATGTTGGTGAGTGAAACAAAGTACCATGTTGACATCGGCAAAGAGACTTTGACGCAGGAGTAGAAAAAACGCCGGGACCCCGAGCTCAGAGGATATTCTCAGTGTGTCGGAAAATATAAGTTTCGTTAACATCTCTGCTAAAAATGACCATGCTAGTGAGTGAAACATGGTACCATGTTAACGTCAACATCGAACGAATTTCACCACATTACGTAGTTGATCTACGAAATGAGTTACTGTAATTTAACCACGAGGTTAGAACAAGGTTAGGAAACAATTTTTGCTCTTTTTATACGCCAAAGGCTAGGATATGGGCGTATTATATATTTTTTTGCATACCTATCGACGTGCAGCCATAAAAACTTCGGTTTATATTCTACAGAGGGTAAATTCTTTGACAATGTGTCAGTGACGGCCTAAAATGGAACTCCAAATCGCCCATGGCAGGAACGACAAACCAACGCATAACGTGAGAATAGATTGCTAAATTTATCGCATTCCCTAATTTCCTCGTTTGAATGTATATCTCAATAATATACGTTCCGATACGGCAACGTCGTTTTCGCGTCTCAGCATCGATCAGAGGATAAACGTAATTAATGTCAAAACAAGATTAGTCGATGGATCAAAATGTTCAATAAATCTATAACTTGGTTTTTAGACCTTAACAACCGAAGAAATTTCAATGTCCCTCATAAGTAAAAGTGGCTCCATGGAGTTTCAACGTTTCTAGGTCTTAATTTAGATCCATAGAGATGATGAGCAACAGAGGTAACAGTTTTAAACGTATCATCAATCAAATATTTTTAACGTAACTGCCCCCAAATATTGAAGTCAATCGCCTCAAAAGAAGGATAGAAAAGTAACCAAAAATTCAATCTAAGCTACAGTTCCACCATTGAAAGTGAAAGTATAAAAACTAAAGTTTACCCGTTGGCTCTCAATTTTCATACATGGTAATGGTGAGAGAGACACGAATTATGACAATATTTTACCCTAGATACGATACTTAACATACTTTCAGATAGATAGATAAAGACGCATGTGATATTGTGATAATCTTATTGTGACAAGAAAATAGAAGATTGCATTTTAAGAAGCAAAATAAAAGTGGGTCTGTGATGCAAAAATTCCACGATTATGTCACACTTTATAATTCCTTCAAAACTGCCCTTGTATTTTACTAGGCTATATACCTACATAATTAAACTTGAATTCAAGCGGGTAGACAAATCCTATAATCTGCGACTAAGTAGTTATGAGGCATAATCGGCTTTGGTGTTTAACAGTGTTAGCACTCTTACTTTCTTGATTCTTGATTGGATGAATCAGATTATTTGCTTGAGTTTTTCCGAGAAATTTTAAAATCACATGCGGGGAATAATTTTCTTTCGTCAATCCTAGATGTATATATACTTAATAAATAAATTAAAAAAAATAAATAAATAAAAACAAGTTTTCACAAAGAAGGAATGATGTAATAGGTTGTCATTCCATTACATCAGAGAATCAGACAAAACCATTTACTTTTGATGCCTGATGTTTCTTCATGTTCAATGGAAATTTTGTGACCAAGATAATAAATAATGTCAAATGAAATTTGCAGTTGAAAGAATATCACCTCAATACAAACCTTTTGAAATTCCGACCTATCATGTTCAATGCGCAAAACTGCCGGAATAAAATGCAACTTCACACCCGATTTTTCGCACCAACTTAGCTATTCATAATTTTATCACCTATGACTTTAGAGAGACTTTTCAATCAAAATCTTAAAATCTGATGTTTTAACTCAACTCGACAAAAATCGATCCATTGAACATTTGACCTCGAAGTTCCTACCCAATTAACGGTCACATTTGTCCTAAATTTCCTATTTCATGAAAAAAATGATTCATTACTGTGGACATCGCTTGTCAAAAAATTTATGTGAAAAAATCAATTTTTATCTGCAATTTTTTTTTTCATTTTTTTACAAGTTGTTTTTCAGATTTTTCATCCTGTTTGGATACTGCAACCTTGTATGAGAGCTGCCAGGAAGGAAAGAACTAACATTATGGGGGGTTGTTGAGGTCTTCAGGGGGAAAGAAGGATCGAAAGGTTTTCGCACAAATTTTACACCGATTTTTCACTCAGACTTTTGGCAGTATGTCCAAGTCGAATCAAGCCTTTGATCAAATCTTTTGATAAGATTAGAAAAACAAAAATTCAATGAAGACTCAGATTAAATAAAAAAAACTTAAGGATCATAAATATCAAAAAGCCTGTTAAACCGAACGAAATTTAAATTTTGACAAAACTTTTGATTAAATTTACTTCTGATTTGACTTGGACTCACTGCGACTGGACAAAGGCGATTATTCTCACAGAGCCAGCGTCAAAGGCAGGCCTTTGAAGCCTTATCCAGGCGGAGCGGGACCACGTTGCGCCACCTCGGGCCGATGTGGGACAAGCGGGACAAACCCGGCTCTTGCAAAAGCCCTCCCCCTCCCCCGTTGCAACCATTATGCAAGAAACACTACTTACACTACGAGCTGGAACTTCATGGCGGTCGACGAACTAAACGCAGCACTGAAATCACACGCGGAGCCGGTAACTACGGTTCCGATCGGTAACAAAACGGTAACTAATCGATAGGTAACCGCATGGCGCTTGGCGAGGCGAGCGCGCACTCCGCGAGAGGTTAGGGACGAGCTCGAGCGTCAACAGGGACAACGGCGAGGTTGGACGTTGTGACTGTGGACGGGTCTATTAGCTATTCCGCGGCGGTGAGTTTCAGCTTAGCCGGGTGCCAAGTGCGAGCGCCAGCGACGTGGACAAAAATGAGAGCGCGAGGTGCTGGCGTCTGGTCCTGATTGCGAGGTGGAATCAGATTCAGAATCAGAATCAGTTGGGGGCGAGAGCGCCAATTGTGGCCAGTCGGTGAACACCCATTCGTCGGAGACTAGTTCAACACCCTTGGTGGTTCTTGCTGGTTCCGCAAATGCCATGTGGGAAACATGTGGCGCGAAACAACTTTACACTTAAGAGTAAACTTCGGCTCTTACAGCATGAAACGCCTGAGTTTTCGGTTTTAAAAACTGAGCTCAAATTTTCGGGAAAAGTTTGTGAATAAGTCTATTCCGATTTTTCCGAGGATTTTGTCCTTAATTCGATCCGAATAGTCTGAAAATTTCAAAGACAAAAATTCACGATTTTTTTTCAAATTTGATATTTTCTGGGAGGAACTTTGGTATCATTCGAAAGCTCATACGGCGTGTTTACTTTGCACTGCAGTATTCATGGCCGCTCTTTAAAGAGCTCATTTGCTTAGGAGGCCCCTTACGGTTTACATTTTCAATGAGGGAGGTTAACTTACCATTAACATACCACCGTACAAAGGACAATTTTTGCCAACCTCGAGCAGAATTCAATAATGTAACTTTCAAAATAGATCATTTAAAGGAATTACGATGGTTGGCCACTACAAAAAATACGAAATACGAAAAAAAATTTATTGCAGGGTTTGTTAGGTCAAAAATTTTTTCAAAATTATAGAATTAATAGTCGCGGCAAATAATCCCTTGCAAGGCTCCATTTCCAAAGTTATACTGCTGAATTATACTCGAGGTCGGCAAAAATTGTCCTTTTATATGATATTTTGAGGGCTTATATGTACCTTCCATAATCACTTATTAAAACCAAAAAGAGCCACGTAAGGAAAGGAGCTCCTTAAGGGAACGACTGTGAATATGACCCTTGAACAATTTTTTAAACAATTATTTTTTTGACCCTTAAACAATTTTTTTTATTTTTTATTTTTTATTCATTTTTTTAAATTTTTTTTTACAAGGGAAGAGGGGAGAGGGACTTAAATCGAGTGCTAAGTTTCTCGCAGCCCTTTTCAAAATTACTATTCAACCGAAAACAGCTATTTCGGACGGATGGGATCTTTTTTCTTTCTTTTTTCCTGGAATATTTTGGGCATCCTTTGGTCCTTTCTCGAGACTCCAAAGCTTCAAGCCCAGCTCACTGAGCATCGAGCATCAAGATCAAAGATGCAAACGTTCGCTCCGATTTTAACGTCGTATTCCGACTGCGGGTTGGAGCTTTTAGCCGCAAGCACAGGCCGCACAAACCAGCTTTGATCCTCGGTGGGAGAGGATTCTTGCATCGCTGATGGGTGGACGTCGTCGGACATTTCTATTTCTTCGCTTCATAGTTCAAAGTTGCCATACCTCGTATCAAAGCTATTACTTACAGATTTAATAATTTAATAATGTTCTCGGGCTCTTGTATATGTTTCAGTTGAACATAGGGAAGCCTATGAATACGGGTTTGAAATTGTTTGAAACGAGTTACGCAAGTTGTGCTTTTTGGGACTCCTTCAGACATTTTAATGTGCTCAAAGTAATTGAAGCTCTGGGTGTAGAAAGGTCAATATTCTTGGCTGCAATATCTCAGAATCTCCGGTAACGTTTCATCCATAGTAATTGCAGCAAATTAAAGGAATTCGTTGAAAGTTTTACGGAATTTTCTTCATTATTTTACAATACTGAAAACGAAAAACTTTTGAAAATTCACTGATAGTTTCCTGTCTGAAGTATAAAAATTAGCAGTGAAGATTTTGAGACACTGCGACGGAGAAATGCCCTTTCTGCATTCAACGCCTCAATTTTTGAGTGATTTTACCCGTTCAAAGACGCTGGCAGTTTCTTTTGTATGCAACAAGCCCATTTTTTGATGAATTTTGCGATCGAATTTTATAACTTTTTTCCTTTTCTCAATTTTATTAGAGTGCCTTGACTTTTTTTTTTCGTTTGTTAAGAGATATCACAGCCAATCGATGCAAAATGTTGGTTCTGAATAGGTCAAGGAATTGGTGATTCAAAGGATCATTGATGCTGTATAGGACTCGCGGGCAATTGGTGATACGATATGCGTACAGCCTGAGCAAATCGCAATAATTCGCATAAGCTGAATGAAGGTTTTATAAAAAAAATAAGCACCTCGAAATCGCCTTCAATTTCCCGGATACTCAACGCTTTGCCCTGTAGTTAGTTTAGTTGCCTATCCAATAGGAGTCCGACAAAGATTACCAAATTCACTTTACGTTGTTGTGAATTATCCCGTTGCTACCATGCGTTGAAGGAGAAAAAATATATACTTAGACTTAAGTAAAATTTCAGTGCTCTACTGTGTCAGTTACTTTTCAATTTCAAGGCACATTTCACATTTCGGCACATTTTCAATTTTCTGACTTCACAGTAAATAATGAAATTGCTGATTCAACGATTTTGTAGTTTAAAAAAGTGTCCAACATGTTTCATTGTAGATCTTACAATAAAAAAATGCTGATTTAACCACCCCCGCAGTTGAATTAGCTTCCCAATATTGTAAAATGTACATTCGAAACATGTCGGACACATTTCTTAACAATTTAATCGTTAAATCAGCAGTCCATTTTTTCAGTGTTGTGTCATTTGTTAATTTTCATTACTATTGGCTTGCAGATCGTCAGCGATCGTTCATTGCTGGAAACATACCGTAGTTTTCCTGATGATAGAACGTAAGTATTTTTCAACGTTGCGAATTTCCTCTCGTAAATTGCGTCTTTTATCATTTGGACATTTCTGATCGAAAATTTCACTGATTTTACAGGAAAGTCAGGGTCCGTAGCCGATCACGCTCGTCTCTCATTCTCACTTGGCAACCTACCTCAATGATTCGTCGCTCCTCTGACGTAAGAGCGTATCTCGATTACCGCATGAGCCCCAGAGAGCATGGATTCATATGTGAAACAAGGCTCATTTGCAAATTCAGATACGCCCTTACGTTAGAGGGACGACGCTATGCGCATGCCCGGTAATCATGATTTTATGCACCTGAGTCCATCAATCGAGTTAAACATCACTTTGCGGTTTACCCATCGATCTGACCATAACTCCGTCAACGTTGCCTTTTCTCCGCTTAAATATACACGTTTGACATAATTAATTACAACGGTGCATCGAGAGCCTCTCACCACTTGTCAGCGTTGGATTCTTGTCTCCAAAACGAGCCCGCCGGGGGCAGACTGTGAAAATAATTACTTCTCATCAAAATGCAGACAAATACACGGGGAAAATTGGTTGCCTCTTTGAAGCTGAACTTTCGGAGGCTGCGCAATACTGCCGTGCTAAGCAAGAACGCCGTACGAACCAACGAGTTTTGTCAAATTTTCTTCGATAAATCGTGAATTTTCAGTAAAATTTTAGAATATTTCCTCTCCGTTTTTTCGAGAATTTCGATTGTGATTTTGTCTAAAAAGTTTGAAAATTTCGAGGAGAAATACTCACGCGCGACTTTTTTCAAAAATTAATATTTTCGGGCAGGAAATTTGGCAACATTCAGATGCTCATACGGCGTTTTTACCTATCACGGCAGAAAATACGGACGTATTCATGCTAAAAGGAACTATGTTACATGCAAATCCTATGCACATAGTTCCTTATAGCATGAATACGTCCATTTCACAGGATCAAGCTCTGAAAGTGGACGTATTTTTAACAAATGGAACTATGTGCATTAAGACATGAGTCCTGAGATCCATAAGAATTCACGCATAACAAGGCTCACGTCATAATCCACATAGTTCCATTTGATGAAAATACGTCCAAATATTACTCTCCATGGGTGAATGGACCTCGATTCAGAAAAAATCAAAACCAAGACCTTACCACCACGCAAGGGCGCAGGTTCACAAAAATTTTGATTAAATAAAACCCTCAAAAGTTCAAACTAAACCTGTCGTGACAATTTAAAATTTACAGTTCTAAAAGACCAAATGGACTTCATTTTGCAACAAGGAGCTACTATTTCTGACTCACAGACAAAAGCATGTATCTGCCCAGGAAAACGAATGCAGCGATAGAAAAGGATATTTGGACTTTTTGCAATGAGTAATGACTATCATTTTTAAAAACAACTTAAATCCCATAAGGTTTGATTGCAGATAGGTGCTTTTATGGATGAGTTGGAAATAGTAGTTTTGAATTGCAAAATTCAGTCCATTTGAAGTTTTATTGTGCCAAGCTTTGCGCACAGAATTTGCGAATGAAAATGGAACTTTACACCTTCTCTTGGCACAAGAATGAACTGAGCTGCTCGCTTCTTCACCCTAGGCATACTAATACATAATATTTCGCCATATTTTTCCAGTGATTTTGCCATACAATAGTACAAAATTTCTCCTAAGAGAAAAAGAACAAATTATGTTTTATAACTCCAAATCTCTTAATAGTAGACACTTAGGACTGTGAATGTCAGGCGAATAGCAGGGCAGGTTTCAGTACCCTTAACCTCTCGTACTGAGTGTTGAAACTGACTCGGTCACTATGAAAAACTACTACATTCAAGTCCATTAACGCATGTTAGTACATTAGAGCAAGCTTCCAAGTTGGGAGAATCAAAGATAGAAATGGCGCCTTGACAGCAAGCATTGCCACATCGCAAATTTTTTCCTTAAAAAGTACAATACGTAGCTACTACTTTTTTTCAATCGAATTACTTTAATTCTGCACCGTCGCAATTCGTTCACTTATTTTCCTCATCACCCTTGATTTCTTCGATTATCTCGTCGGTGACCAGTGAAATCTACGGATTGAAAATTTTCAATTCACTTCTGAGGGCGAATTTGTTGTGAATTAAAGTGTCGCAGTCGCAAGCAAAGAACTTCAAGAATGTTCTCTCATGGCCGCGATGAGTAGTAACTTCACTTATTATATTAAAATCTTGATTCGTAATTTTCTTAGAATCCTCCTGGAAAATGTGCCCGTAAAATTGGGGGAGGAGAAAATCAGAAAGCTGCTGCTTCAGCC